CACTGAGCACCATTTCATGTGGTCTGGAACATCCCTTGGGTCAGTTTGGGCCATCTGTCCTGGCTCTGTCTCCTCCCAACCTCCCATGCACCCCCAGTATGAAAAGCAGAAAAGGCCTTGACTCTCTGTGATCACTGCTCAGCAACAACAAAAACATCTCCATTATCATCCCTGTGTTCAGCACAAATCCAAACCACAGCCCCATGCCAGCCACTGGGAGGGGAATTAACTCTGCCCCAGCCAGACCCAGCACAGTGATTTGTGGATGGAATGGAAGACAGCAACGCTGTGTTTCACAACAGAGCTTTGACCTGCAGCCCCTGCCTTAAGGCTTTTCAACAACTTGGGCATCCTGGGATAAAACCAACCCAAACCATTCCATGATTCTCTGTTCAGAATCAAGTTGTCTCCACCCTGAGATCATTCTTTATGGTATGATGTTTGGATCCCAATTCTGCATCACATACATTATGGGAAGTTACTTGAAATACTTCCCTCCTTCCTTCCTTCCTTCCTTCCAGGCATCCTTAGCATGTGAGTAAACTGTGAGCAAAACAACAACCAAGCAGTGGAACAAAGCAGAAGTATAAAGGAAGCAGGAAGTGATCATCTCTGTGGTTTAGTGTTGTCCCCGTGGTTTGTGTTGTGGTCAGCAGGACAGAGAGTCTGTGCATGCCTGATTACTGAATATTGGTTGTGGGTCAGGAGTTCTTTACCAGCTCCAGACTGATGTGTGAATTACTGATGCTTACAAGTACCAGGAGGTCTGGTGGCCTTGTAACCTCCTGTCAATAGGAGTTTGTAACTTCTTTTTTTTTTTTTTTCCCCCTAAACATGTGTGATTTGTGTCTCCATTTGCTTATTGGAATCATCTGAACGTCTTGTCTGATCAGTTCTGACCTTTGGTGACATCTGTGTCCCTTGTCTGTGCTACCAAACAGCTTAGTCTTGTTTTCAGAATGTTTTGTCTGGCCCAAAGCAGGAACTGGTTTTAGCTTCTGAATGCAGTGCCTGGCCTGTCACACAGCAGGTCAGACGAGGTAATTTGCTGTTCCTTCCTGACTCTGAAAGCCATGAAGTTTATTCACTGAGTCAGCAGGCTTGAAAGGCCTCTTCCCTCAAATTACTTCGAGGTTCACCATTACCTCCTGCACTTCTCTGCTGCAAGTGCATCTCTGCATCACATCTGCTGCTCAGTCCCAGCAGACATCCCTTCCCTTCTCTACTTCTGGATCACCTCCTTTTTCCCCAGCTGTGGCAGATCCAATGCCCAGGGATCATGCTTTGACCACGCTTTCTGCCTCCTGAGTCTCTGCCCAACTGGCTGTACCAGCTTTGGGCTCATTCCTGGCCAGAGAAGCCACGGACTTTCATCTGCTGACCCTGGTGCTTCAGAAGTGGGATTGGGTTTGCAGTGTATCAATCACCACCTGCTGAGGCCGGTGATGTGCAGGGTGTGGTTGCTGAGCCCACCTGCTGTTCCACTGCTCAGGAATTAACCGGATCTGTGCCAGCAGCTCCGTGGTGGAGGCACCGAATCACAAAGCTGAGCTTTGTGAAATACAGTCTCAGTTTTGTGCGAGTTTGGTGTTCCCGAAGATTGACCATTGAGAGGATGACGTTCCTTGGAAAAAAATAGTTATTCCAAAATGAATCATAGAGCTGATAAAATACTCAGGGGACAAAGTCTGGACTGTGTAAGTGCATGTATTGTCATTTTACTTTCAAACATTCAAGATAATGAGTTTTAACCTTTAACATTTAACCTTTAACTCTGAACTTTCTGGCCTGTAGTCGTTCCTTTTGGGAACCTTCACCATAAACTTGCAGAATGGATGAGGAATCGACCAGTTTAGAAAGCTTTTTACTTGGTTTGGTTTTAGAGCAGAGTGGTGATGATGTCCAGGTGTTAGAAAGGAAAATTGCTTGTCAGTAGAATTGCCTTGTTAACGTTTAGGGCTGGACATGCTGCAGTGATCTCAGACGTGGGGGAGGTTACCCGAGCTTGGGCAGAAGGATGTGCTGCTGACAGTGGGCACAGGGACGCCAAATTTCCGGGCCACAAGGACACTTGGCAGGAGCCCCAAGATAAGGAAGAAACTAAGAAAGCCAACTCAGCAACTGTGCTGAAATCAGCTCCGGGTGGGTAGGAGGTAATTTCAGCAGGGGCAGATCCTGACTACCAACCCACGGACCACCAGCTCCACAAACACCACTTCCCATCTCCCCTCTACCCCTCCTCCCACCTCAAAGGAGGAGGAAGACTGAGCAGGGGGCTAATTAGCATAAGAAACAAAGGAATCATTAACCAATAGAAGATAGAAAGCTAATTAATAGGAGAACTAGGTAAGTTGTAGCCAGTTAGGGTAACAGTGAGGTGGGGACCCCGTGTGAACTGCAGGGTGTCACACACATCCAGCCAGAGAGGAATCCCCCTGGGCTGTTCCTTGGAGTAGAGGCTGGAGTTACTGCATGGAGGAGAGGGTTTAGTTGTCTTCCACAGATGACACATGTAATCTCTGCTCACTCTGATCTCAGCTGGCAGGTTTTACAGTGCAGTGTGACTGTCCCCCTGATCCATAATGAACTTTGTCTTACTCATCCTGTAAGTGAATTCTGAGGGGGAATTCCCTCCTTCCTCTTATTCTTTCAGTGAGCCCAAAAAGAGAAAGGACAAATCTCTGTTGAAACCTCTCTGACAGGTCTCATTTTCAAACCTGCTGAGTGCTGTGGGATTTCTGATCACATTACTGAAAAATAAAGCTGTGTCTCCCTTCTGATTTGCAGCTCTCAGAGAAAGATAAACCCTGTGTGGATATCCAGGGCCTGACAGCCTCCACCATGGAAATCCTGCTGGACTTTGTATATACAGAAACTGTGCATGTGACGGTAGAAAACGTCCAGGAACTGCTCCCAGCAGCATGTCTGCTTCAGCTGAAAGGTAATTCAAGGAGCAGCACATATTGCACAGTTGCTGCTATTTAGGTATTTTATTTGTGTGACCCTCTGTGAATGGAAGAGAAATTTGGGGTGAAATTATAAGTAGCTATGTCAGACTTCTGTTTCCTTGTGCTCTGTGGTCTCGTTGGTAGAGGAACTGACTTGGGTGCAAAAAAAAAAGATAATAAAACAGGTTATTGTTCCGTGCTTTGGGCTACTGTACAGGAGTATTCCCAAGAGGAATTGTGGGCTGTAACACATAAATGTTACAGCTCAGTCAAATTATGATAGTGGGCAAATCCTAGATGTTGTTTGACCTGCCATCACAGGTTGATGACAAAGTGGTTGATGTCCTTGCACATGCACCTGTGGAGCTATTCCAGGCAATTATCCCAAATCCCAGGTGACTTACCCAAAAGTTATCATAGAAAACCGAGAAATCTGGTAGTCATATTCACTAGCAGATACATTTATGGTTTATAATCCATGAAACTGAGTACAGCTCACATTGGAGTCTTTCCCTGGTATCAGATTGATGTTATTTTTTCATTTAAAATAGAACAGCCAGAGCTCAAACCAGCCCAGGCACACGGTTTGTGTGAGTGTCCTCCCCTGCTCCAAAGCATTTACCTGCATGTGTGTGTTTCTGTGGTGTTTCTACTTGTTATTTGAGTTGGCTTTTCGTTATTGTTTGGAAGTTTCCTTTCTGAAGCCCTTTCCAAAGCAGTGGATTGACAGTAAGCCTGCAGTGCTCATTCACCCCTCCAATTTTCCGTAGGTGTGAAACA